ATAATAAATAATAATAATAATAATAATAATAGTTATTACAATTGTTATTAATTTTATCGATGATTTTTTTATCTGATATACGTTACGTGCGTCACTATATCATTAATAAATTATCGATAAAAAGTATCGTGCAAAATTATACGAAAAAAGTGTATAATTTTGCAATTAGTTTTGTAATTAGTTGTATAATTGTAATTTTCTGTAAGGCGACACATGCATCGATTAAAACAGGCAGTAGGTGAAACACACTTCTTGTGCAAAACCCGTTGAGCGCTTCTAAATTTTTAATAAAAAAATTTATAATTTTGTTGCAATAAATATAATAATATAGTAATATTTAACAAATATAATAATATTTAATAATTAATTAAAATGTAGTTAAGAAATAGCTAAGAATGTTGATTGATAAAAAACGCGACAAAATCAGCGCTCGAAGGGTAAAAACAGACGCTATCGTCGAGCATCACGATACATTTTCACGCCTCGTTTAGAAAGCTGTTCGCACATACGACTGATATTGCTATATCGACGCATATGATAATGATAGGCAAATAGAGAATCGTCAGAATCGTGTGCATGATCGAGTAGATCCAGATCTATGATACGCGATGCGCAGACCACTAACGCAAACCGATTGTGTTATTTGCAGTTTTTTGTAAGACTCGATCATATCCGCAAGTGCTTTACTCAAAAGGATGGAATCTTTGTTTTGGAAGAATTCAGTAAGTGACATACCGAATATTGCATCGATTATGCTTTTACCATAGATATCTCGTGAAAAAAAAGAATAGATTCACAATATTCTCTGACACGCTTACGCTGCAATTTAGCAATTAATCTTTGAATATCGAAATATCGGGTGACTTTCTGTTTCAGATCCTAAAACTAGACAAGTAATTCAACGTAAATATAAGTCACAAATGGTGAGTGGCGTGTTTCAAAGCTCTTTATTATCGGAATAAAAATATCTGTCGTAATGAGAAAAGATATTTGTTTCGAGAAAAAAAGTAATAAAATGTCTGTTTTACTATAAAATGAAATAATAATTTAATTTCGTTAATAATATGTTCGTTTTAAGTGAATA